CGCAGCTGATCTTCAAATACTTGTAATGGACGATTTGGCGACGCGTATACCGATACCAGGACCGAGTTTCCCCAGCCTGCAATAACGAAGTCGACCCCACGGGACAATTCCCGAGGTCTCGGACCCGGCGCCGAGCTCGAGAAGAAGATCGCGGCCCCGCCGTCCTCGGATACGAACCAAGTGCCGGCTGAGCAACCCCCTTCCCCCGACGGAACGACGTGGGGTTCCGAGATCATCGCGATCCCGACGCCCCACGTCCCTATCAAGTTAAGCAAGAGATCCTGTGCCCCTTTGCACCTATTCAAATTTATTTGGAGAAACTTCCCCATGCTCACAGAGAACTACCGGCGGAGCCGTTTGTTCCCGGCTGACATGCGGAGGCTGCCCCCCTAACGTTTCCCTCCGTGTTCCTGGTATTGGATTCCCACCGGATGGGCCTACCCCTGACGGCCGGCGCCCCGCACGAAGACCCACCGAGCCGGTATTGAGCCGGCCGGCCCGCCTCCGAACAGGGAGCGCAGCAGATTTTGTTTGCGCATTCTCGCGCCCGGTGCCCCTTCTCCCCGCACCTGAAGCAGCGGTCCAGCGCCGTATCTCCCCTTTCCCTGACATTGGGACAACGCGAGCCTACATGCCCCAGATGTAGGCACCTGACGCAGTTGGTCCTGCGTTTCGGCAGCAGGACCACCCTCGCAGGCATCCACCCGATGACAACCGCGCCCGCCTTTAAGAGGACGGACGCGACGGCCGCCGGGACGGATGCGTACGCGGACGAGTTACAATGTGGGCCTCCGCCGGTCGGGAAGCGCACAGAGATGTCCGATGACGAGCACCCCCCACCCTAGCTAATTCCGCTGCGACCATCGACGACGTCGCTGACTCGCAAAGACCTTCCACGCGCAGGTCGACTCGCCTCTCGGGACACGAGGCCGTGACCCCCATCGACCCTACGACGCTTTGGATCCTTGCGGCCAGTTCTGCCGCCTTGGCCGCCCTATTTTCCCCTCGAATTTCTAATAAGTCCAAGGAGGTATAAAGTAAAATAAAATGCAACATTGGGTTCCCGCAAAAATAAAATGTCACACTTAAAATAAAACGTAAACATTGGTGTCCTACTTGAAAAAAAACGTAAACATTAAAATTTTCGCAAAAGTAAAATTTTAAAATTGGCGTCCTACTTAAGTAAAACGTAAACAATGGCGTCCTACTTAAAATAAAACGTAAACATTGGATTTTCGCCCACAAGGTCATTTTTAACTAAAAACATCGAAAAATTTGCTCCGATGTATCAGTAAAACATAAGATTCAAGGAGGTTTAATAAAAAATAAAATGAAACAGTGGATTCCCACTTAAAATCATACTTTTATTTATAATTTTTTTTATTTTAAACTAAAAATATCGCAAAATTTGTTTAAATATATATCAGGGATAAAAGGTAAGAAAAAAGATATGTAAAATAAGGTACAAACAATCGAGTATTTTTAATACTTTTATTGGCAAAATACAATTTTACAGAAATTAATTTATTACAAGTATTTTTATTAATAAACTACATATATTTTTATTTAGTACGACAGGAGGTTTTTTTTTTTTACCCAGGAGAAATGCAGTTTCGCACTAACCCCTCCGTAGAGGGAGTGTGGACTAAAACTCCTGGGCATGTCGCAAGAGCGTGGCTCTGTATGAGGAGGGGGGAGACTCTTGTGAGAGTAGAACCAACATTTCAGTCTACCCTCTCCGGTAGAGCCAGAACGTTCCACACGATTAACTTTGAGGGAAATTCGCCCTAATCTTCGTTCCGTCATCGCCTCGAAGATGAGAACGCATCTCCCAGGACGTTCGGCAGTCCCTTTCGGGAGTGCCACCGGTCCTTCGCTGGGAGGTGGAAACAAATGGGAAAACAAATGATAGAGGTACAGATCGTCGTATTCGTCTTTTCCTTCCTCTTTCCTACGACGAAGCTTTCCATTTTGTAAAAACTATTCGTTCCTCTTCCTCCAGGCGTCTTCTTTTCCTTGGCTTGAAATTTTAGCCCAAAGCAGACGCCGTCAAACTCCGAACTTTTCCTATTTCGCGCGCAGGACCGTCTTTAAGGTCTGCGAAGCGGAAAGTCGGGTCGAGGAATGCGAGATGTTACCCAAAGGTTGCCCTAACCTCAACTACCTATAATCAAGAAAAGCACACAATTATTAAATGGAGTTCGTTGAGCTTTTTCAAAATTTCTTACACACAAAAATCAATTATTATTATTTAAGCTCTTAACTTTACCTGATTTTGTTACAGATTTTAAAGAGAGAGAAAGGAGGGGGGGGGGCAAAAAAAACTGATGGATTGTCAACATCGGGACTTGTTCCCGATGCGCGGCGGTTGAGAGCCGTTTTCCCCGACCGCAGACGAAGAGTCAGACCTGTACCTTACCAACCTTCCGGGGGGAAAAAGAGAGTGTGGGGCTCGGCACTTTTCTTTCAGGGTCGCATCATCCTGCTCCGGGAAAACGGGGATGCGAGCGGAAGGATGGCGGGGAGATCTTCTTGCGTGGGATGGTCCGGCTCCTTTCGCGGGGGGTCGACTTGTCTCCGGAAACTCGTCGTTCTCGGGGGATGGTTCGCATGCTTAAGGACGTTGCGTGCGATTCATTCCAACGGCAGAAAGAAGATGCGAACAAAAGATGAAGATCGAGATGACGACGGATCCGACGATGACGACGACGTCGGAGTCCGCACCGGTCGGATTCTCGCACTTCGGACTGCAAGAGTCAATCGGACGGCGGCAGGGGCGAAACGCGGACGGACTGTGGGGGATGTTTCGTTGGGTCCGATACTTCGAAGCTCACCGCCTCCGGAAGCTCACTTCGTCTCTGCGGGGAGGCGGGAACGACGGGGCAGGTCGGTACCGTCTCCCGAGGCACAAGGGAGGAAAGGATTTGTCCCGGTACTCCGAGTCGGGCTCCGGGTCTCTTGCTCGATTACGTCGGGGGGAGATTCGTCCCGGCTTAGGTGCGTCGGTGTTCTTCGCGGCGGTCAGAGTCTGGAAAACTTTAGATCGTCGCGGGGTCGTCGGGGAGGGAACGGGGATTAACGTTATCTCATTTCAGGTGCGGATCTTCGGGATCTTCCAAGCGAACGGCGGCGGGAAGACGAAACGGAAGGAGTCGGCGATTCGGGCGGGAGTCGCGCCCCGTTCGGTTTGTCCGGTCCGGAAGTTCGATTTTCCCGCGTGGGGAGGCGGAAACAGCGTGGCAAATTGAAGTCGTCTTCCGGGGCACGAGGGAGGAAAGGATTCGTCCCGGTACTCCGAGTCGGGCTCCGGATCTCTTTCTCGATTACGTCGGGGGGAGATTTGTCCCGGCTTCGGTGCGTCGGCGTTCTCCGCGGCGGTCGGAGTCTGGCAAACTTTCGGTCGTCAAGGGGGGGAACGGGGATTAATGTTTCTGATTTTCAGGTTCATGTCTTCGATCTTTCTCCCGGAGCGATGGCAGCGGCGCGCAGGTGAAGGAGGCGGGCGGTCCGGCCGGGAGTAGCGAACCCGTCCGTGTCGTCCGGTTCCGGAAGCTCGCGTTTTCTGCGGCGGGGGCGGGAGCGACGTGGCAGGTCGCGAACGTCCCCGCAAAGGTGAGGGTGAGGATGCCCGGCGGCGGTGGGCGCGAACCCGTCGTCGTCGGGCGAAAACACACACACACTTCTTTCTTTCTTCTCGAGAGTCGGCGACCCCGGTCGATTCCTCTTCTGTCCCCTTTTCTATTTCCCACGCCGTTAGGGAGGATGTGATCAGATAATAATTCTTCACTTTAATCTTTTTACCCTTTTCAGATGACGCGGTAAGTCAAGTCTCAATCCCAAGCCCCGATCGCATCCTCAGGAAACAGGCGCGTTTCTCATCCAATTTCCCACGGTGAGGGACCGGAGGACACTTCCGAAAGGGGGTGCCGAACGTCCCGGGAGGTGCGTTCTCATCTTCGAGGAGGAGACGGAACGGAGATTAGGGCGGACTTCCCCAAAAGTGATCATGTGGAACGGCTAACGTTCTGACCTACCGGAGAGGGGAGACTGAAATGTAGGTTCCACTCCCACGAGTGAAATGAAATAAAAGTGGCGACAGTGAATCTCCCTGAAAAAATTCTTCTTTTTATAAATATTTTCTTAGAAGAGTATTTTAAAATAGTATTTTAATTAAAATTTTATAATATATGACGACAAAAACGATTTTTTTTTTCGGAAGGGGGGAGGGAGAGGCCGGAAGAGGTGACGGGGTGGAAAAGGAGTAAATAAAACAAGGAAAAGGAGAAAAAAACAAAACAAAAACTATTTTTTTTTTTCTTTTACCTTCTTCTGTTTTATCACAACACGATTTATAACAAAAACAATAATAATAATAATAATTTAATGAATAATAATAATAAGAATAACAACAACTTTTATTGTTAATAATAATAATAATAATAATTGATTTCCTTTTTTTTTTTTATTTATTAAAAAAATTTTTTTTTTTAATTTTTTTTTTCTAAAATTGCTTCACAGCACATTTTGTTTGTTTTGTTTGTTTTTTTTTTGTTTTTTTTTTTTTTTTTTTCATTTAAAAAAAACTTCCGTTCATTTTTAATAAAAAGATTCATTTTATTTTGATAAGTAAGTAACTGATGCTTTTTTTTATTTCCTTTCTTTTTTCCTCCACGATCATTTTTTTTTTTTTCAATTATTTATAATAATAATAAACTTTTATCATCATCATCATCATCATTATTTTTAAAAAACTACTATTTACATAGAATTTGATAAAAATAAATTAATAATAATAATAATAATAATAACAAACAAACAATCGAACGAAAAAAAAAAGAGCAAGAGTGAGAAAGAGTGAGTGAGTGAGTAAAAGAAAGAAAGAAAGAAATTACGACGGTAGTAGTAATAATAATAATAATAAAACTAGGGAAGAATAACGTGATTGATTGATTGGTTGATTTGTTTGTTTGTTTGTTTATCGAGATAAATCATATTGATTATCACGCCGGTGGAGCCGGAGCATCCGAACCAAAATCGTCACTTTCCGGATTTGGACTCTCGTTTTCTCTAATGAGTAAATTTTTGGCTTTTTGCTCCCAGAAAAAAACATTTTTCTGTATTTTCTTCGTGTTTTCCGCGACGAAAGCATCCGGAGACCCGTAATTGGGTGGATTCGCCAACGGATCGTAGCCCAAAACTGCGAGCATGGGTGCTATGACCGGCATGTCTTTGACGACGTCTTCCGGAATGTTGTTGACCCATTTGTTTAAAGCTTCCAAATTCACGGGTTTGATGACTTGATCCGACGATCTTTCCACCCTTCGAAAAAAACAAAAGAAAATGAAAATACGTTAGACGTTCTTTCGTAACGAACGGTTGTTTTTCCGTTTTCCCCCGCCTCCTCACTTTGATAATAAAACTCCTCCTGGTTTGTTTATTTGTTCTTCGTGGTGAAGAACGGATTCGTTCCATGGCACGTCTAAAAATTCCAATATTTTATGCATCGATTCGCTCGGATGTAGTACCAACTGTTCGTAGTAAACCATTAAACACCTCGACGATCCGACTTGCATGCACTGCTTGTGCATTATGTGTATTGCGTTATTCCATTTTGTCAGGCACTGACGGTAGCTCGAGAGATCGAACCCTGTTATTGTCACCTGAAATTTTTTTTTATTAATAAAACTGACGTGTAAGAATAAGAAGAAGGAGAAAGAATTTTTATTTTCCGTTCGTTTTCTTTTACCTTTCTGGATATGATCGAATGTACGGTCGCTCTCCCATCTCTCACCATGAATATAAATTTCGATGCTGGAAAAAGTTCGGAAAGGTAGACTGCCGATTTAAGAGTGAGAGGATCTTTGTTGCAAAGACGAGGTGCGGGTTCACCGTGTCGGGCAATTACTTCCAAACAAAATGCCGCGATCGCCGAATCCAATACCTGTACGAAAGAAACAATGTTCCCTTTACTACTGTCACGTCTACCACTACCTCTTCCGGTTTAGTCATATTTATTTACCTCCTTGCTAAGTCCGGCTTCTTCCAATCTCAAACTTTCTTTTTGAGATTTAAGCCAATGATTTCTAATTTGTAATAATCTAGGTATCACTCTCGTCTCTTGACCGCACCTGTAATACATTTTACATATGCCATCTCAATATTAACAAACACGATAATGATAATGATTTGTCTTTGGTACGAACCTAACTTCGGGATGAGCATCCAACATGGCTCTCATGAGCGTCGTTCCCGACCTGGGAACTCCTCCTATAAATATCAGCGGCATCCCTCTGTGATACCTATAAATTTTATTATCTTTTCCAACGACGTATTTCTAAATTAAACAAACAAACAAACGTGAATAATAATAATAATAATGATAATATCGTTAAACATCTTTTAAAAAAAAATCAATTCTCTAACGATTAATCGATTTTATTCGTACAACACAAAACGATTTCCTTCACCCTTTTCTGCCCTTTGACCCCTTTGCCCCCTTTCCCTCTCTCTATCCCTCCTCCCCTACCTCTCCCCCTCCTGTTCTCTTTGTCTTTCAATCTATTGACACGTCATTAAACTCTTTATTCATTATTTAATAACAAAAAAAATTTTTTTTTTCCTCTTTAATTTCAACATAATAATTGAAACGATAAAAATATCAATTAATAAAAATCGATCGTAAATCAATAAAATATCGATTCGATCGATTTTTAAATCAATATTTATGACGTATATCACGTCAAAAATCAATAAATAAATAAATAAATAATAAGAAGAAAATCGTTTGCGAAATGGAATTTTTCGTCGTGTCATCATTAACGTCGTCACAATGATAAAAAAGTTGTTATTTTTGTTTGTTGATTCTCACTCACCTCATCAGCCACCATTCTAGGCCTTGTATCGACCCACGTGCATCTGGAAATACTTCTAAGGACCATAAAAACAATAACGATAACAAACAAGCATAGAACAACTTTGCAATAGTGGCGTCCACCCCGGACCATCCTCTTTTTTTCTACCTCATTTCCATCTGAAAAAACAAAAAAAAAAAAATCAATCAATCAATCAATCATTCAATACCTTTGATCACTTCCTATTCCAACTCTCATCAAATTTCGAATTGTTACGAACGTTTGTCGAACAAACGGAAGCAAACAAAAAAACGTACGAACGTTCTTAATAAGAATTTTTTTTTCTCCCCCCACCCGGAAATAAATTTTAAAAAAAAATGGGTAGAGGTTTGTTGTTGTTGTTGCTGTTGTTGCTGCTGCTGCTGTCGGGGAAAAAAAAAAGCGAAAACGGAAACGGAATTCAAATTAATTTAAACGAATTTTTCTTACAAAAAAAAAAAAATTAATTAGATCGAACAACATTTATAATTTTTAATTACACGTTCATTTGCATTTAAATTTTTTCTTTTTTATTCGCGTTTTAAGTTACAAAAAAAAAATGGCTACCGAAACCTGGAGAATAATAAAATAATGTTTTTTTTCTTTTCTTTTTTTTTTTAATTTAAAAATAAATAAGGTAGATGAGAGAAAGTAAAAGCGAAAAAAAAATGGGGGGGGAGGGTTGAAAATGATAAATTTTCCGGGATGACAATTATGAGTGCAGAATTGATAATGAGTTGGATTAAACGTAGGTCGGCGGGTAGAGTGCTCGACTCTCTAAACGGGAGTCGTAGGTTCAAATCCAACTTTTTTTTTTGTGTTAACCGGAGAGGGGGAGGGCACAAGTCTCCCGAACTATATCCCATTTATCGTCGACCGGGAATATCAAATTCAAAAATTAAAAGTAAACATAATCCATATGACGATAATAATCATGATGATCGAGTTAAACGACGACGACGACGACGTCAACGCAAATAAAATGGGATGGGGGGAGGGGGTAGGGAGAATGAAACAGAAGAAAATTTTCATTGAATACAAATCAAGAGGAAAATAACAAAAAATAATAATAATAATAAAATAAACAATTTTTTTTATTTGACGTCATTTCGAAATTATTGTTTTAAAACCGTCTGTCAAAAGTTTGTCGCCTTTTTTTAGAATTTTTATTTTGCACGACAAAAATCACACACAATAAAAAGAGAGAGAGACAGAGAGAGAGAGAGAGAGAAACCAATACAATTTTTATAACCTTCTATAATTAAAATCTTTTTTTTTTTTTTTTTTAAACAAACTGAAAGGATAATTAACAAATTAAGAACAATTAAAAAAAAACAATCGAGTTTCACCTGAACAAACTGAAAAACACCTGAAAGGTGCGAATCGATGACGGGTATCTACGATCTACGGGGATCCGATACGAATTTAATTAATTCGATAACAAAAAAAAAAAAAAATTTTTTTTGCTTACGTCACGAGAGGGGAGGGGAGATCCACGTAAACGGCAACGTTTCCAATTTCCAAACAAACACGTAAAAAAAAATTTTTTTTTTTTTTTAAATTAATGACGTCATTATTTCAATTTTCCAATTCGATTTTTTTTTGTTAAAAAAAAACTCCCCTACCCCAACGTGAAAAAAAACTACCTGCCTACCTCCCCTTAGTCCCCCCCCCACAAAAAAAAACCTTTTGATATCGAATTTTGACGTTTAGAGAGAAACGAATAATATACAAATAATATTTTTTTAATTTTAAAAAAAAAAGCGGCAAATTTTTTTCACACGATTCGAAAAATATTTTTTTTTTATTTCGGTTGGCAACCCTGTAAAATTTTCCTTTTTTTCGTTTTTTTCTTTTTCTAATATTAATTTTTAATTTCGATACGAATAAGACATCAACGACAACGAATCCGACGAAGTACAATTCATTTATTCTGACGTCAATTTTTCAAACAATTAATAATAATGATAATAATGATAATAATGATAATAATGACAATAATAATAATAATAAATAAATTTTCTTACGTGAAGACGAAACAAAATAAAAAAAAAGAAAAAAAAAACTAAAAACTAAAACTTTATTCTTGACTCGGTTCGAACAATTATTAACAACGACAAAAACGCGACAGAAAAAAACGACAGACGACGCGCAACGACGACGAAGACGACGACAGCAGACGAAAACGATGGCGAAAATGACGAATAATGCCTTAAACACCTGCAAATACCTGGCAAAAATTTATTTGTTTAAATAATAATAATAATAAATTCATTTTAATACGAATTAAAAAATTAAAAAAAAAAAAAATTTTTTTTTAACGGCAATGCCATCTTCTCTCTCTCTCTCTCTCTCTCTTTCTATCTCTTTTCCTCTTACGCTATTTCGTTTTTTTTTTTACTTACGCAAACACAACACAGGTGGTTCTTTCTCTCCCGAATAACTTTTAACCCTTTTTCTATCTCTTTCTCTCTCTCTCTCTCTCTCTCTCTTTAGCTTTCTGATTCTTTTCTTTTTTATATTTTCGATTATGATCAATCAGAGGGACGAGGAGGGAGGGAAATCGCATGTTGGAAAATCGACTAAAATAATAAAAAAAAATTTTTTTAATTTTCTTTTCAACAACCGACGACACATTTCAATCATCGGTGAAACTTTACAACAAAAAAACCAATTTGTTGTTGAAATGATGACAAACCGGAAATTTATTCTATTCGTGTGCACGCGACACAAACAACACCCTTTCGACACAAAATAATTTGAATTCCTTTTTTACAAAATTACGACGACAAACCGCGACCGTTTTACTCCCCCCTCCCACCGTTTTCTCCTCGAAGACCTCCCCCCAAAAAACGGTCTCTTTTACGTCGGAAACCGATGTCATTTAATATGACAGTAATAATAATAATAATAACTTTTAAACGTAGGAAATTGCATTCGTTATACGTACAAATTATCCGTTTATTGTTTTTACCTTTTTTTTTTTTGTTTGACGTGGAAGCAAATTAAAAACGCGATGTTATTAATATCCGATTTGTCAGCCATTTTATATTATTACCATTAAAGCAGACGAACAAACAAACAGAGAAAGCAAAACGAAGACAGAGAAAGAGCGAAAGAGAGAGAGAGAGAGAGAGAGAGAGAGAGACGAGAACAAACAAAAAAACAACACAAAATAATTATTAAAAAAAAAAAAAAGAGAGAAACTTCATCGTCGCGGTATACGCGAACGGTTAGGATAAAAAAAAAAAACAAACGAACGTGGCAGCAGAAAACGGGGGGGGGGGGAAGAAGAAAAAAGAAAATTTATTCAAGTTTGTCCAATTTGAAAAATAAATTTTTTTTTTTTTTAACGCAAACTGGAGAAAGAAAAAGAAAAAAGAAAAAAAAATTATCATTATTATTTTTATTATTTTTCTCCGGTTCGAGTAGTTCTCACCCCTCCCACCCCGCCTCCCCATTTTTTTTTTCTTTCGAATAATTTTCCGTACAAATTATTCAAATCCGTAAATTTTTTTTTAAAACGAACGACCGATTTAACATCTCTCTCCTTCCTCCATTTTTGTACATTTCAAAAAAAAAAGGCGGGAATAAAATTGATTTGTTACTTCTAAAAAAAAAAAAGAAGGAGGAGGGAGGGAAAGCGGGGGAGTGGAAAACTTTTCTTTATCAAAAACTTTTTTTCTTTTCGGGGGGGAAAAAAAAAGAAGAAAAAATTGAAAATCTCCTAAATGATATAAAACCTTTTTAAAAAAATAAGCGGAAGTGGAAGAAAAAAAGAAGATAAGAAGAAGAAGAAGAAGAATAAAAGACATTAAAATTATGGGGGAGGGGGGGGAGAGAGAAAAAACCAAGGGTTGGCCTCACAGCCATTATCCAACCCTCTCCTTTCCTTTTCTCGAGAATGACGGAAGTGAAGCGATTTCCAGTTTTTCTTTCTTTTTTTTTTTAAAGTTAAGCGACAGACAAATTAGTCTGTCGACACTTTAAAAAAAAAAATCGAATAAGAAAAAAAAGAAAGAAAAAAATGGAAGGAAAGAGACGACGACTGGAAAAGGAAAGAGTAACGAATAAAAAAAAAAAAACTTTTATTTAATCTGAAAAACCAAATTCGAAAACTTTTTGCTGACGTTTAAAGAAACCTTTCCATCCACGTATACGTGGAGCCTCTCCCGCGCACAACGACGACGACGACTTCCGCTTCCGTTTCCGCTTCCGACACCGACACGACCGCCGACGAATTCTCAACCTCTTAACCTTTTCCCATTCATTTCCCTTTCCGCTTTTTTTTCCCCCCTCGTTCAAATAATAATAAAAAATACAAATAAACCGACAAACGAGAGAGAGAGAGAGAGAGAGAAAAAGAGAGAAAGAGAGGAAGATAGAAAAAGAGAGAGAGATATTCTCTTCTCGCATGGAATCTCTCGACGACGAAAGACTTTTTATTACTAAAACTTTTCCTCTTCCATTTTTTTTTTTTTTACATATAAAATAAAAATTTTCCGACAGGAAAAATCAGTCAGTCATCAAAAAAAAAAAAAAATCTTTCGAAATCGTCATGTCGTGACGTCAACGATATAAATAATAATAATAATATGAGTGATAATTCTATTGAAAGTTTTTCCGATTCGATTTTTAAAATCGATGATGATGATGATCGCGTTCGTCACGCGTGTGATGTCACCAAGTCAAAAATTTTCACCTAAGAAATGATAATAACGAACGTGTCACGTGAAGACGAAACAAGAAATAAAAACAGGTACATGGATGGGCGGGTAGGTAGGTAGGTAGGCAGGTAAAAGTTTTTTTTTTTTTATACAAAACGAATGAATTTTATTCTCACGGGAGAGTAAAAGAGAGAGAGAGAGAGAGAGGAAAAAATTCAAATGAAATTGTTATACTTTTCCCCTCCCTCCCCCACCCTTTCCACCCATTGTCTGTCGCCACGACAACAACAAAAAAAACATACGAATAACGTTTTTATTTCTCTCTCTCTCTCAACATTTCTCATTTTAAATTTTCCTTTCATTCCTTTCCTTTCCTTCCTTCCTTCTTTCCTTTCTATCTACTTCCTCACACATTCTTCCTTTTACATCCTCATTTCCGTTCCTCCATCTTTTTTTTTTTTTTATGTAGCAAATCAAATCCGGAATATAAAAAAAAAAAAAAAAAACAAAAAATTATTACACGTCCGATCCGACATAGAAAAAAAGAAAAAG